ATATATATCCTAAATTTTGAACTCTTAATCCGTAACAGAAAATATCCAATGTAGTTAAAGTTGTATCTCCTAAAACAATGAAAGAAAAGAGATGAAGCCCCCAATATACACATGAGGAGGGTTTTTTATGTTCTATATAAATAAATGTGTGTATAATATTTTCTTGGTGCTGTATTTTCTGTGCTTACGTGGAGAGACAGCCCTCCATAGTCTCTGTGTTCAGTGCGTTAAACATGTAAAATGCTGCTGTGTGCATGAGGAAGCATGTTCTGCATACTAAGTCCACTAAATGGATTTTGTATGCAAATCATGCAACGGGTAGATGTGGTAAACCACACCACCAACTCTAACCCTTATGTTGAACCTTCCAGGCGAACCCTGACCCCAGCACATGTTTGGGGGTGTTTGGCTTGAGCCTGTACACCACAGAGCGTGACCTGAGGGAGGTGTTTTCGCGCTACGGTCCTTTGGCGGGGGTCAATGTGGTGTACGACCAGCGCACGGGTCGCTCCCGTGGCTTCGCCTTTGTTTACTTTGAGAGACTGGAGGATTCCAAAGAGGTATGGTTTGTCGTTTTGTTCACTGGTTAGATGTCTAATGATCTTCAGTCCTGGTCCCAGGGAATCAGTTGTTTTCTGAATCGCATTAATTGGGTGTTTAAATAGGACCTATTATGCTCATTTTCAGGGTCATGCGTGTATGAAAGGTTTCTACTTAAACATGCTTCACATGTTTAATGATCAAAAAACACTTTATTGTCTTCATGCTGCTGGAACACCAGTATTCACCCTCTCTCTGAGAAGGCTTTGTTTTGCACCTGTTCCTTTAAGCCTCCTCCCACAAAATGTAGTCTGCTCTGATTGGTCTGCGTTTCCAGGTCTTCCCTCTCTTGATGTCTCTGCATGGCAGCCAAGAAATGGCTGTAACAGAGAATAGTGGCACTTAATTGATTTTGGAAAATCCCCAATAAATACTTAAGCAGGAATATGATTAAATTCAAGGAGGAATTTACAACATTGTTTCCTTGTAGCTTTGCATACCAGTGTAGGCTACGTAATGTGAACGCTTGCATTACTGTCTTTAGAACAGATGATCATATAAAATATATGGCACCCTATAGCGTCATATTGTTGCTAGAGAAGAAAGAACTGTTGCAAAGGAGTTTCAGAACAGTCTGAAACCTGACATTTTGCTAACAAGGATTACTTAAACATACAGTTAAGTCATTATTTGAAACATCGGCCACGTTTAATATAAACATCCGACACTGTAACACTACAAGTAAGACTAAATTTGTAAAAGCATTATCGGTCTCTTTCTGAAGTGTATAAAAAAAAAATTCCCTGATTGAGATGACTGATAGGGTTTATTATTTATCATTTGTCACATGAAATCATACAAATACGTTTTCAGAGAAATGCCGTCTTTCAGTGTCATGGCTGTAGGGCCTGAGAACCAGGAGTGAAGAGTATGGATGTTAAGCTACATGCAAGGGATAACGTACAGTGAGCAGGTCATCATTGCAAAAATAACCTTGGCAGGGTGATGCAGAACTTCAGTCATTCCTGACTTTACAATGATCCACTGGCTGTACATTATCCTGCTTATTACAGATTATCAGACTCAAGTATTCAACAAAGCTGTATAATAAAGTCTTAAGTCTAATCCAAGTATAGATTTTTGCCCTTTACCACTTGTTTTACTATTTGACTTAAAAAACTGTGACTTCTTCATTTATATACGGCCAGCTACAGATTGTTGGGCACTTTGTTTTCATAGTATTAGTACATGCCGGTTCAAAGGTCCCCCACTACAGATAACGCCTTTTTTAAAATTTAGTTGTGATAACATAAAAGCGCCACTAGGTGTCTGCATTGCCACAAATTCCCTCCCTTTGCAGTCATGCATCTTGAAGCAAGGGGGTTACAATGTGTAATGTAGGTGGGCTTTTGTGAAATAAATGATTTGCACCTAAAAGCCTACAATAGTTGATAACATCTTTGTCTTCTCCTCCCTCCTGTGTGCTTCAGGCAATGGAGCGAGCCAATGGCATGGAGCTGGACGGGAGGCGCATCAGAGTGGATTATTCCATCACTAAACGTGCTCATACCCCCACACCAGGAATCTACATGGGCCGACCAACGCAGTAAGACCAACACTATTATCAAGTGTTGCTCATCCGTTTCCTGTACCTCTTGTGAATATTGATCACATGGTTGAAGTCTCGAAGAAACATAAATGTACACTTAAGCCATCAGGGGTGAAACAAAAACTGGGTTGGTGTAATGTTGAGGTGGCAGAGCTCACTTGTGCATCATCTCCTCAAACACAACCCTGATTTGTAACAATTTATATCAGCTGTGAGACTGTGTTGTGTTTCTCAAGAGATAAGATGCCTGCATGTCATGGCCTTGTTCTTGTTTCAACAGCAATGGCGGCGGAAGCAGCAGCAGCAGCAGCAGCAGGAGGGGGAGAGACTCATATTATGATCGCGGCTATGACCGCTACGACAGATGCGACGAGTATGACTATAGGTACAGGTGAGTTATAATTTGAGAGTCCACAGTCAATGTTACATCTATACGTGGGAGTAAATTAATTAAATTTGCCTTGTCGCTCTGCAGTCGCAGGCGTTCTCCATCACCCTACTACAGTCGATACAGGTCACGCTCACGGTCTCGCTCCTACAGCCCACGTAAGTATGAAGAGAAATGCATACAATAGAAAGCCTAACTGCGTCTGTGTACCTTGATGTCTGTTGAAAGCAGATTGATTTTTTTTAGTAATGTTCATGTTTTCTTTTTGCAGGGCGATACTAAGTTCCTTCTCTCAGCGTTCAGCTTCCCTCCGATAATTGACGGTGTGCGATTCATCATGGTGTTTCTGAGGGGAACATTTTGAATTAGCATGTCTATATCAACAGAACTCTTAAGTTTGAGATAGTTCTTGTTCACATGCAATAGATGTCTTAATTTTTAGACGTTTTGATGCATCCATGTTGAGTGTGAGCAAAGAACTCTGCAACTGTTGCTTCATTCTGTGACTTGCATCCTTCCTTCCCTCTTCATTTTCTGCAGCAGCGATAACCTGTTTTTCCTGTTGAGTGATGGTTGAAGGGGAAAGTAAACTGGGTTTTATTACATAATGGTGACACTTAATTTTACACCCTTTTTTTTAAGTAAGTTTAAGAATCAGCTCAGTGTATGTGCAGTAAAGATTACAGATTAATCCCAATGTTACCTAGCACTAACTGAATTACTGGTAAGTAGCAGGAAAATCAGGCTGTAAAATGGAGTGTTACCAGCAATCAGTGGTCGGTTCTCTGCTCACATTCATTTTTAGTCAAGAAAGTCATTGTTTGAGTTTCTCCAGAGAGTTTTATTGTCATTTATTACATTTTTTTTATTGTTTCTTTGTATGTAAATACAAATATATGAAAACTTTAAAGTTTGTAATGCGTTTTTCTGACTTAATGTGCATGAAATTGAAGTTGAGCTTTGGTTGTAAAGGTGGGAGTAAATGCTTTAAATTGAGTGGGTGAGGTGGGAAAACGAGCTGGGAGAGTTTCACAGAACAAGACCAGCGCCAAGACATGATAAGTGAATGTTGACGCAAATTCCAAGTTGTTGATCTGGAGCCACTATTGAAAAACCCCAATAGACTCCAAAAGTTTGAGTTTTTTTTTCTCATTCAGGTTTCACTACTGAAAACATGCAAAGAAGGACTTTTACAAGGCCTTTACTGAGTGGCTTTTATTGCATGAGATACAAAGTTCACATGTAAGAAAACACTGTTATTCAGAGTGTTCTGTGCCAGTATGTTTGAGTTCTCGGTAAATATTCAAACAACTAAACCGCTTGTGCTTTCCTCAAAATTCTTCCCATGGGGCACACTAAAATTAAGTAACTTTACTGTGACTGTGATGTACCTCACCTTAACTATGAGCTTAATAGAACATATACTTGTCTAAAATAGCCAATTACATGCTTTGCATTATGAAAACATGACTAAATGCTTCCAAGTTTGGTCTACATGACACAGTGTTACCTGTCACATGTTCCTGCACAGAACAAGTCCTTGTAGATTGCATCAACATATCAGTTTTTGTCTAAAAGAGATACAAGATCTTGACACAAGTTAAGTGGATAATCACAAAAGTAAACCTGGAGGAATGGAGGGCTCTTTATCTGTAGACCTTAGCCTCAATAATAAGGCACCTCATTCTAATCAGGTTAATAATCACTGCTGACATGACAAGGGGCCCCTCAGAGTTACGCGTTCATTCACACCGACTTAGATAATTCTTAAGGTTCCAAGGTAACGCTCGCTAGAAGGTTACAAGGGTCAAAGTATGAGGTCTTTCTCAATAAAGGTTCAACACTCCAAGCCATGGTTGGATGTCTGTTGTCTACATTTGTGCTCATTTTCACCTTGGAACATTATGTCAAGTGAATTTTAATCACTGGTGATCCTTCAGATACATTTTTCCTGTATAGGTTTGTGTAATAAAATAATTCAACCCCCCAAACCCCCAAAACAATAACAGCTCAAAGTCTAATGCAGCCTCTCCTTGACAGTTTTCTTTAAAGAGAACAGGTGCAGATGGAAGAAAATGCACTTGGTTTTACAGCTACATGAGAGGTTGTGAATTTCTTTTTCCTCACTGAATTTGCACCAGGAGCTATTACTTATAGGTCGACTAGTTGGGGCCAGAATGGACACAATTTCATTTTACTGGGACTGCATGTAGCAACATCTTTCTAATAGGAACTTTCAGAAAGAAAGATACAATTAGATTATTTTCTATTTCACAGAAAGTCAAATATTAAAAGTAATGTCAGCTATTTGGGTGGAGGAAGCACCTACTACTCAAAAAACAAAAGATGAGCTAAAACACTGCAGCAATCAAACCAGACACACACAGTGTATTCAGATTCTACATAAAATACACCGCCTCCATCTTTTCTCTGTTCTCTGTCAACTTTATCACATGTAGAGGTATACGTTTTATAACAGACAACCAAAGGTCCACACCAGGGGCAACCTGTGGCTTTAACATGCATTACTGAGACTAAAACTGGGAGGGTGCACTCCTAAAGTACAGGACAATGTCTAAAGGTTAGTAACAGGCAACGCCATGTTCATGTTTTCAACATGGTTTGAACACAGGATGGCTGGTGGGGGGTGGAGGCTTAAATCCTCCGCCTCTGAGTTGTTAACGTCTGAGGCTCCACTTAAAATAAGAAACATTAACAGCACATTATCTTACGTATCAGTCAGAGGTTGTGATGGTGCAGATATCCTGAGTGATTTATCATTTTACTTTGGGATGATTTAAAGTTCTTGATATTAGTCAGTGGAAGATGTTTTCTGGAGGATTTATCTATTTATATCATACAGAAATATGACCAAATTCAACTCAAACAGTTAATTAATGTGCCAGGAATGTGTTTTTATTGTTTTCTTTGACTGTAGGCAAGTCTGTGTTCACACAATAAAATATTGCATTATTAATTTAAAAACTGTTTGAAACTTGTGACTAGTGTCTTGCAGATATGTGGTTCTCTGATTTTAAAAGAAGTGAGAATTTACAGACAGCGGAAAAGAGAATTACTCTGCCATAACTGTTTAAATCCACAGCAAATAATGTGTATTTCTGTGCTGAAATTAATTACCAAAATCATCAGGTTGATAAATGATTGGTTGAACACTTTTACGTCAATTCAGTATTCACATACAGTAAATTAAAGCTATATTTTAGGGGAGAATTTGCTTGAACTTTTCCACATTAGAGAAAACACAATGTAGTCCATTACAAATTCAACAAATCACACACTTTATTTTGCAGTGAACATAATCTAATGTAAAATTACAAGTGTGAAAACTTGAAGCACAGCAAATCATGTTTCTCTCCTCTTTCAGAAAACAGGACATTGAGGAAATTGGCTGCTTTTGAGTTGTTTCAAGAGCAATTTTCTCAACCCAAATCATTGTGTAACTAATCAATCAAGGTGCTGAAAACAGCAAACAGCAGCAGCCAGAGGGGAAAATATTCACATGAGAGAGACAAAGAAACATGCACACACACAGTGCAGATGCAATGTGTGACCAAGTCTGCAAATATTCATGTGACTGTGCGTGAAAACACCCACTTTCATCAGACTTTTTGTTCAGCCTGAACATGTGGTGTTAATCTGAACAAATCCTCAGCAACCATTAAAAAAGCAATCATCTCAAGATCACAACATAAAAATACAAAAATCAACATGTTTATTACAAAAAATAAACTAGAATTCTGGTGAAATTATGAGAAATGAAAACACAAAATAATTTCAAGCTATTTCTCTCACACACTGCAGTGTGTGGCTCAAATTACTTGCAATTAAACAGATATTTCATTTAAAAATATACAGTTGTTTCCACTTGTGAGGCGAAACGATAGTACGACGGTGGCTGTGTTTTTGGTGTTATTTATAGCTTTTTTGTTTTTTTTTAAACAAAACAAATCATCAATTATTTCTATTAAAATATCCACACATTTAAACAATCTTTTCAGCACCTCCTGACCCAGATTAAGTCAACTTTCCCCCACTAATTTCCAGAATTGGGCTTTCGTTTGAGGACAAAAAAAGTGTGCGTGGCGAGAAAACGAGAAAACACAACCCTTTCTTTCTTATATTATTCTTTAAAAAAAATAACAAATGTATTATATTGAATATATGCACCATTTTAACATTTCACCAGTGTGCTTTAACTCGTTATTTGCTGCTAAACAGAAATACATCCTCCTTGGCATGTGTTTTGAGAGGGCACAAACCGCCATTTTCTAATGAGATGTAGGGTGTCATCACACAGGATAATCTGTGGAGAAAACACATTCATTTTTTTATGTTTTGGAGCCTGCATGAAAGCTCTTGATGTAAATAGAAAGCATGTGCCCGCACCTTAAAAAAGCCATGCGTTAACACCGATAAGGACATTGTTTCCATTAGTTAATGTTACTGTAAAAGGCTCTGGATTCTCCTCAACATGGCGTTCACCACTGTGTTCCCTGACTCTGTCCGCAGCGGTCAGTCAGTGGATTTAATGCTTACAAGTCAAGTGGAAAGAAAACATAGTCAAATATTAGAATCGCCTGCTAATAAATACAAAATAAAGCAATCTCACCGGAAACCAGAATCCCTTGGTTGAGAGTTGCCTAAAGGGGTTTTAAAAGAGCCTTGCGCTTGGCGACGCAGAGTATCTATATCTTGGAGTGAGGCCAGCAGCTCAAAGTTGGGCTATAAACTGCGTTTTACTTAAACAATCTACCTCCCTCTCCTCTCCCCTTCTCTTTCTCTCTAGAAATATCCCAGACTATGTTTAACCAGATCGATTTTGTCAGTTCTTTTCTTTTCCTACACTGACATTAACCGCAGAAATCTTCCCACATAGGATGCAGTCTAGTCTGAAACTTTATGTCAGTTTGCCCCTATGGAATTTGACCATTGCGAGGAGTCCTGAGACTGGGGGCGGGGAGACTTTCTGTACATTCCTCAGCGATACATTCACTACTCCTGCAGAGCCTGCAGCCACACACACACACACGGTCACACACACACACACTCACACGGACAGGCTGCAGCCATGCATCAGTTCATTTAAACCGACACAGTCAGGCGAGCACTCACATGACTTGCTATCTCTATACAAATATACCATGTAGAAGGTGCTGTCCAGCACATTACAGATTGAGCTCCTGCGGTGCGTTTCGTTATTTCATTTGCACTAGAGATCCTTGAAGACAAATAAACTAGGTTGTAAAAAATTGTAAGCGCCTAACTAGGCCGACGGAAAGCGCCCAGGTTTCATAAATCCCTTATATTGGTCCATATAGAAGGAATATGTGCATTTAAAACTGAGTTAGAAGTTATTAAGAAACTTTTCATCAGTTAAAGCTTGAAACAAATTATAGAACTATTAGAAATGAGCAGAAAGTGTGTTTAAAGTTGCATTTAACTGGTATTTTTTATTCTTTTTCCACTGCACCTATTATAGGAGTGACCCATAAATGTAAATGCGGTGTAAACTTCCTGAAAAGTTGAGAAGAGTTACAAAAAGTGCCGCGGATTTGTCCGCTGGCTCGTGTTTCATTACATCTTTATGGTTTGTGACAAAAGCCCAGCAGAGGAAACATGGGGAGAAATGCATAATTGGCGCGCTGATTCATATAGAATGGTCGAGCCGGGGAGCCAATGAATGAGCGCGCTGAGGCCGAGCCAGCAGCAGTAGTACGGAGCGGGGCTGCAGCCCTGTGATTGGACAGCCTCCCGAGCCAATCAGAGCGCTTCGTGTGTTTGTTCAGCAGCAGAGGAGTAAACCCACTGAGACAGCTATGGCCCCAGTCTGAGCTAGTGGCTGAAGGGCCCACTAAACCAACACTCCCTTTGTAACCTGCTTTACATGAGCATGCACACCTAGGCCTATTCATTAGCAAACACTGCAGGGACACAGTACTATCATTTCAGCTCCAAGCATGGCTCAGGGCAATTGCAGGGCTGCAGTGGAGGTTACACCCACCTAATCTTACTTTAACATCTTCTTTTTTTCCATATGAAATACACAGTTTGACCAAGTTTTCAAAAATCTAGCTGTTCAAAGGCTAAATCACTTTGGTAATGACATGTAGGTTGCAGTAAGGCACACACATTTACAGGAAAATGAATACTATTATGTAACTTTTCATATTTTACATTGTTGCTTACATGATTATTTTAAGGCTGCAATTCACACTTAGTTTTAATTTCAGCACAAATAACTGTTATATCATAACAGATAACAATGAGAGAATTCAATTATGCTGCTGTGTTTGCATGCCCACACATGATCCAGAAAAAAATGTCTTATTCTCATATCTGAGATTATACTGTTACAAATGCTGTGAATTGAGAACATTTAAACAATTATGTTGCATAAACCTTCTTTCTGAAGATGCTGGGATTAACCTTGAACTTTTATATTATGGATATGCTAAGTATAAATACACACAATCAGCAGGCAGTTAATGCGACACAAATATAACACTGAGGCAGTATAATAAACTTTATGCCTTTGTGAAGTTTATAAAGTTCACTTTTTGTTTGGAGAATTGTTGATTCAAATTAATCGTCGTCTTGCAGTTGCAAGAATAAAAAACTGGCGATGTATGTTTATGCAAACCATGGATATGCTACATTTGAAGGTTTTACATGCATCATATCAACATTTCTACAGTGACATTTTGCATCATTTAAACTTTTTATTCTTTGAAACATCCTGCAACATTATAATACAAAAATTTTCACATGGTAGTCTGCAGGTGACACAGTACACAAACAGGAAACAAAAAGTGGAAGCAAACAGTTGCGTCCCCCCAAACTCACACAGCACCCCACATGACATACTTTTAAGGCTTCATATTAGTGAATCTCAGGAAGCTAACCCCCATTTGTGGTGACACTCAACTCCAAATCTACAAATCAGTTTGGCTAGCATTAACTCATACGAGGCTGTAACAGTCGTGGGACCAATTCAATCCTTAAAACAAGGTGTGTAGTTCGGATTACATTACATTATTTGAGCTGGGTTTCCCAACAGGCGGAGGAGGAGGGGATAGTGGGTGGTGTGACACCTGGGGGACACAGGTGCCAAGCAACAGACAGTAGCAGACCACTGTTTGAAACCGACAAACAACAAAAGCAAGTACTTTTAACAAAACATCAGGACATATCCAGCCATGTTTGTTGCAACAAAACCATTATTTTAGTGACACTTCGGGGCAATTTCAGCCATGTTTGTTGTGATACATCGGGTATTTTTTAACGACATGTTGGGACATTTTCAGCTGAGTTTGTCATGATACATCGGGTGTTTTTTAACAACATGTTGGGACATTTTCAGCTGTGTTTGTTGCAAGAAAACCATTTTTTAGTGACATGTCAGGACATTTTCAGCCGAGTTTGTCATGATACATTGGGTGTTTTTTAACGACATGTCGGGACATTTTCAGCCGAGTTTGTCCTGATACATCGGGTGTTTTTTAACAACATGTCTGGACATTTTCAGCCGAGTTTGTCCTGATACATCAGGTATTTTTTAACGACATGTTGGGACATTTTCAGCTGTGTTTGTTGCGAGAAAACCATTTTTTAGTGACATGTTGGGACAATTTCGGCCATGTTTGTTGTGATACAACAGGTATTTTTTAACGACACATCAGGACATTTTCAGCCATGTTTGTTACAACAAAAGCAGATATTTTTTAACAACACGTTGCAACATTTCCAGCTGTGTTTGTTGCGAGAAAACCATTTTTTAATGAAATGTTGGGACATTTTCAGCCAAGTTTGTTGCAACAAAAGCAATATTTCTTTAAAGACACATCGACATATGTTAAGCCATGTTTGTTATGACAAAAGCAGATATTTTTTAACGACACGTCGGGACAATTTCAGCCATGTTTGTTGTGATACATTGGGTGTTTTTTAACAACATGTTGGGACATATTCAGCCATGTTTGTCACAACAAACACAAGTATTTTTTGAAGACACATCGACGACACATTTTCAGGCATGTTTGTTACGACAAAAGCAGATATTTTTTTAACGGCATGTTGGGACATTTTCAGCTGTGTTTGTTGCAAGAAAAGCAAGTTTTTTTGAAGACACATCGACACATTTTCAGCCATGTTTGTTACGACAAAAGAAAATACTTTTTAACAACACGTTGCAACATTTTCAGCTGTATTTGCTGCGAGAAAAACATTTTTTAGTGACATGTTGGGACATTTACAGCCGAGTATGTTGCGACAAAAGCAAATTTTTTTGAAGACACATTGACGCATTTTCAGCCATGTTTGTTACGACAAAACCGGATAATTTTTAACGACACCTTGAAACATTTTCAGCTGTGATTGTTGTGACAAAACCGTGTATTTTTGAACAACATGTCAGAATATTTTCAGCCACGTGTGTTGCAACAAAACTTGGTATTTTCAATGACATGACTGAGTGATGTTTGTTGTGACAAGACCATGTTTTTTTAATGACATGTCGGACTTTTTGGGAATGTTTTCTGGAAAAAGTGTGTAATTTTTAAACCGCACCTCGGGACATTTTCAGCCATGTTTGTTGCTACAAAACCACATATTTTTTAACAGCAACATCAGCTGTTTGTTGTGACACAACAGGGTTCTTTTTACCTACATATTGCAACTTTTTCAGCCATGTTTGTTGCTACAAAACCGCATATTTTTTAACAGCAACATCAGCTGTTTGTTGTGACACAACAGGGTTCTTTTTACCTACATATTGCAACTTTTTCAGCCATGTTAGTTGCTATAAAACTGGGTCATTTAATCCAAAACATGATGTTCTCCTAACCCTAACCAAATGGTTTTTGTGCTTACACCTAACCACACACTAACCACAGTGTTGTCACAATATAATATTGAAAATTTAAACACAAAGTTTCTACATATTCGCTACAAGGCACAAATATAACCTATCCAAAGTTTGTGGAAACGTACAAGGTCAACGTTGTCTCTGGTTACTGGGGTTGCTCCTTGGTTGCTACAGTTGTAGTGCTATTGAATCATACCATGTTATACTGAGAAGTGTTTCTGGTATTTTGTCCACCCCAGACTAATATAAGAAGCCCACTCAGGATCACACAACACAGTTCATCAGCACTGCAAAATACAGCCTCCAAACCTCTCTTACTCTGAATATTATGACCTTCATGAGAATAGAATTTACTGCAGGACTGTTATTAGACTGAACTGGGTTTGGATTTGTGCACCTAATAAACTGACAGCCGAGGATAGATAGATAGATAGATAGATAGATAGATAGATGGATCTTTTTAACCCTTACTTTTGTTTTTTACAAATCCATTGTCAGGTGATCTATTAATAACTATGAAGCTGTGTGTGTAAATTTACATTTTGGGGTCCCTGGTGTTGAAAACCTTTAACTAGTTCTGCTCTGACAGTATATTGACCTTTATATCATCAACAGGTATAGATTCAGCAACCCGCTTGTCTGCATATGGCCATTTTCATACAGGGTGACCCGCTCGTCAACTATCGGCCTTCGCCCATGATTTACAAAAGATCCTATTGACAGTTGTGTAATATTTTAGACATGGATTCCACACGTGATTGAACTGGACTGTGCATTACATAGGACGCTAGGGGCACTTTAGTGTAGGAAGCCCCTCCCTCCCTCTGTGAATGCAGATCCATGCCGGAGGTATAGCAGCGAGGATTCGCCATGTGCATTCGGTCCACATGGCCAACGCCTCCTCGTTGTGCCAAAGCGTCTCAAAGTTGGACAAAATGAGTGGCGTGGAAGCTCTCATCTCGCCAAAAGACACCTCCCTCCATATCATTGTGTGTGACCACGAGCAAAACGGGCCTGCAGTTGGAC